GCACGCCACCCCCCTCCACCGACACGCTGGCGGTGGCCCAGAGCGAAGGCGAGCCCCCGTCCCGCGCTGTCACCACCACGGTGTAGTCAGAAATGCTCTCTCTGTCCAGGGCGCTGTCCAGCACCAGCGAGTAGTAATTCTTGTAGGTGGACACCAGCTTGAAGGGAATCTTGGGCGTCACTGAGCAGGTCACTTGCCCATTAGCTCCAGAATCGCGATCGGACACGCTGATCAGAGCAATGACAGTACCGATTTGAGCGTCCTCTTGGACTGGCAAGGACAAAGAAGTCAAAGCAATCTGAGGGGCATTGTCATTTTTATCCAAAACTTTCACTAAAACCGTGCAGTGACCCGCCATTGGAGGATGGCCTTTGTCCGTCGCGTCAATGCGGATTTTGTATACATTTACTTGTTCATGATCCAAATTCCCTTGAATTGATATTTCTCCCGTATTCGGATCTATGCTAAACAGGCTAGCAACTGTGGGTGGAACAAGACTACTAAAAGAGTATGAAATAGCCCCGTTCGCTCCTTCGTCCAGATCAGAAGCGTTCAGCCTGATAACTGTTGTTCCATTGTCTGCGTTTTCAAATATCCTTACTTCATATTCAGAGCGTTCGAAACTGGGAGCGTTATCGTTCACGTCCAGCACGGTGATCAGCAGCTGAACAGTGCCAGTGAGCTCGGGTTTGCCTCCGTCAGTGGCCGTCAGAAGTAAGTTATGTTCAGGAGTATCCTCTCTGTCCAAGGGTCTTTTTAATAGGAGCCCAATTTGTTTATTATCATCACTGTTTGTTTTCACATCTAGCCCGAAGTGTTCGCTAGAACTGAGCTTGTAAGTTAAGATAGAATTGGAGCCGATATCTGCGTCTGACGCGCCCTCCAGTGGAAACAGAGAATCTGGCAGTCTAGATTCGTAAATAAATACTCTTTGTTCCTTTACCGGGAAAACGGGAGAGTTGTCGTTAATGTCCTTCACCTCCACCTCCACGTGGAAAATCTGCAGCGGCCGGTCCACGATCACCTCCAGGTGGATGCTACACTCCGCGCTCCGCCCGCACAGCTCCTCCCGGTCGATCCGAGAATTCACAAACAAAACGCCATTCTGCAGATTTACCTCCAGAAGGTCCGCGCGGCCCTTGGACGCCACCCGGAACAGGCGGGGCACCAGGTCCTCCAGCTCCAGCCCCAGGTCCTGCGCGATGCGACCCACAAAGGTGCCGTGTTTGGCTTCCTCGGAGACCGAGTAATGGAGCTGGCCGCTCCCCTCCTCCCAGGCTGCGAGGAGCAGAAGCGAGAGCATCAGGCATCGCTTTCGTTGTCTGCCTTCAGGAGTGAACACCATGTCAAATACTTCTTGTTTTATTGTCATTAGACAATATTTTGTCGATCTAAAGATGAAAGGCTGGATTATCTGGATTCTATGAATTCAACTCTGCATCCGCCATTATTCGGCAATAAAAGGATGATGCAGTAATAGAAGGAACAGGTTTGGAACACTGGTTAGGTGTAACTTCTTAGTAGACAGCGACATCATGCGGCTCCAAACGGTAAGAAATAAATTGTGCTATACTCTAAATTCTTTACATTTAAATATATACATACGTACTTTCTTTACTTCACTTCTACGGTGAGTCTTGCTTATACGTGTCATTTGCAGTGTTAGTGTCATCCCGTTTGGCTTCTTTTTTAGAGTGGATAAGAAATCTGATCATTTATAGAAAAATAGCTTTCTTTCCAATATCTTAAACATTGGTGGCAATTTAGTAAATTTAAGTTAGTGGGAACTGGTCCTGAAAACTAGAAGTGTAAGTCTTGCAGACATTGTGTGTGTGTGTGTGTGTGTGTGTGTGTGTGTGTGTGTGTGTCACAGGACATGCTACTATATAATGTTCTGGGAAAGGAAGGTAATTTAAAATTAACACATTTTTCTGAATTTAAAAAAAATTATAGATTATTGGAGTTCATTATTTCTTTGTTCAGTAAATATTCTTGTACTCTTAAGGTTCTTTTATGTAATAACGAAATAAGAAAATTTTAATGCATGTTCTTTGCTATATTTCTTAACACGTGTGCAGTTTATGAGGCCCCTCACTTAAAATATTTTCCCTCCATATAAGTCACCACATCAAATCCTAGGAGAATTTACAACTTTTGTACTTTGACTCATGACTTTTCAGCTGCTCCTAAGTGACCTTGTCCTTGTCACTCAAACTCAGCTTCACCTCATATCCTTTTGTTAAGAATCATCTATTTATTTTTATCTATTCACTCACTTATTTTAATTTGACCAGAGAGAGACACAGAGAGAAAAAAAATGATAAAGCAAGCCACCAGGTCTGGGACCTGAACTTTGGTCAGCCACATGGGAATATCCAGCACCTTAACCACCACACCACCTGCTGGCCCCCACCCTATATCCTTTTAAATGTTCTCATCAACTTCCAAGTTTCAAACAAGCCACATCTCCATTCTCCCTTTTTGTTTCTAATTGTCACATTCACCCATACCTACTGACTGCGAGAAAACAATTGGTTTACTATCAAAGCATGACTAATCATTTATGAACCTTCACTTTCAAATCCTTGAAATACACACTTGTTTTTATGGCATGAACATTCTGCAGGTTGCCTGTATTATCATTTTTATTACTCCTTCTCCCTTACCCATCTTATTCAAAGACTGCCTAAGGTCCACCTCTCTTTCAAACATGTACCGTTGTATTTATCTCTATAAATATTGCTGTCATTGAACTGCTCTAAATCTAAAATTTCCAAGACATTAGTATCACTTTTAGGTGACCTGCATGTGCTCAAGATCCAATTTTTCTTCAGTTATTTTTCATTATTTCCTAATATTAATTCTATTTTGTTGACAATATGGAACACTTGTTCTCCCTCTGGCCAACACAGCCTTTCCTCAAGCTGAGTTAATACCTCTATCTATACCTGTAAAACTATTACCATCGTAATAATGTCAAGCCAAAATATCAATTTCACCATTAGCTAATCCTTAATGTCATCAATTGGAGTAATTAAACTCTTCATTGAGAGGAAAAAATTAGAGTCACCACTTAGACTTTTCACATGATGCACATCTACCGCGTCTTCCCCCAAAATTCTAACATATATCTGAAAGTCTCAAAATTGTGATACAAAACTCTTCATTCTATGAATTATCTCTAGATATTTATTTTGTAGTCCTGTACACTGACTTTCTATTGCAGTTATTTAGGGCAACAAGTTTGTTAACCAATAACAACCCGCAAAACAAGAGAATTCTCTGCTTACAGAAAGATAAGCCTCCTCTAAAGCTATTTTGATCTGAGGGTTTTCTATAGTAGCTGGTGTTTTTCTTATACAATACTTTGAGTAAGTGTACTTTTGCTTGCTTTCTTTCTTTCTTTCTTTCTTTCTTTCTTTCTTTCTTTTTTTTGGGAGATTTTGCTATAGGGCACATGTGCTCATCAGAGAGATAAAGAGAGACAGAGAGAAAGCAAGAAATCACCCCCCAGGGGAGATGGCCATCCTACAAGCCTTTCTTCTCCATTCCTCTTGGGATTTTGGACATGGACACACATGTGCCCAGCATGAGTTTTAAGCTGCCAGGTCTGGTACTCAAACCATGGTCAACTACATGGGAGTCCAGTGATGTAACAATTATGCCATTTGCTGGTCCCATCTTAAGTGAATTTTCTCAGCTTAATTTCTATTGCTAAAAATAGTTAATCAATGGGCCACAGGTGGCATGGTGGTTAAGGTCCGGGACTTTCACATGACCAACCATGGTTTGAGTCCTGGACCTGGCAACTTGTTTTCTCACTCCCCCCCACCTGGTCTCTCTCTGGTCAAATTTTAAAATAATAATAATAAATAAAATAAAATAATTATTTTTAAAAAGTTAATCAAAGATAAATATGACACCTGTCTACCCATTGCAGTTATTAATAATTCCCAGAAGCCTGAAACTGTTCCCCAATTAACTGGTACAGTTATAATTTTACTGATTCCAGGTAGAACATCATAAACTAGGGACCAGCAGATGGCATAATGGTTACACCGATGGACTCCCACATAGTTGACTGTGGTTCAAGTCCCAGAGCAATCAAAGATAAATATGACACCTGTCTACCCATTGCAGTTATTAATAATTCCCAGAAGCCTGAAACTGTTCCCCAATTAACTGGTACAGTTATAATTTTACTGATTCCAGGTAGAACATCATAAACTAGGGACCAGCAGATGGCATAATGGTTACACCGATGGACTCCCACATAGTTGACTGTGGTTCAAGTCCCAGAGCTGGCAGTTTAAAACTCATACCCAGGCATGTGTGTATTCATATCCAAGATTCCAGAAGGAGAATGGAGAAGACATTGTGGCGTGACCATTCCCCCCAAGGGAGATAATTTCTTGCTTTCTGTCTTTCTGTCTCTCCAGTGACTGCACACTCCCTATAGCAAAAGTCTCTCTGAAAAAAAAGGAAAGAAAGAAAATCATAAACCATAACGGAAAACTTCAATGTGAAATAAATTAACAGGAAAGGGAAAACATTAGCCTTCTCCTGAGAGCTAGCTTACATTTGTCTCCATTTTGTTTATTCAAATACTTCATTCTAATCAAAGGGGAAGAGTCTACAGAGAAAAAATCATGAGTCAATATCTGTAAATGAAGAGCTCCCTCTCCAACGAAAGACAAATTTTATAGAGATAATATAAACCCTAGTCAAAACTAAATGAACTTAATTTTTTAGAGAGATTTTGCCATAGGGTTTGTGCACTCACCAGAGAGACATAGATAGAGAGTCATAAAATGAGAAATCACCCCCCAGGGTGGATGGCCATGACACAATCCCTTCTCCTCCATTCTCACTTGAGGATTTTTGATGTATATGCACACACACTGGACTCTGCATGAGTTTCAAGCCACCGGGTCCAGGACTTGAACAGTCGTCAGTCATGTGGGAGTCCACAACATAACCATTACACCATCTCCTGGTCCCATGAACTTGATTTTTAAAGAGTTAACATTTGTTACTTACGGATTTGCACAGTGACAAAAATGCATTCTCAATTCCTAGGACTTTCCCAAAGTAACTCAGAGTATTAAAAAATATCTAAATAATGTGGTAGAGGGATGTTTGTAAAAATTAAATACATGTGAGAATAAAAGAAATAGGCAACCCAACAAAAATAAGGACTTATCATATGAAGTGTGCAATTTAGGATCTCAAAAACCCACACTTTCCCCCCCAAAGAGTAGAAAAAGTTCTTTTTATTTGAGATGGTGATGACCCTTATCTCTGGTGAACTTAAATGTGCAACTTTGATATAAATACCTCTATTTGTAGACAACAAACTTAAGAGGGGAGTTTTATCATAGTAAATTATTTAATCTGAAAATGGAAGCAACAATTAATTGGACTGGTGCAGGAGCCTAGTGGATTGAGGGAGCATGATCCCACGTGGAGGAACACAGTTTCATGCTTGTCTCCATGGCAGAGAGATACACTGAGTGCACAGGCATGTATGTTTACATTCGGACAAGTAGGAGAAATAGAGAAGGGATTGCAACTTGACTATGTCCTATTGGTCAGTGCTTTCTCCCTTCCTCTCTCTCTCTCTCTCTCGCTCTCTCGCTCTCTCGCTCTCTCTTTCTCTCTCCCTCTCTCTCTCTCCCTCCCTCCCTCCCTCCCTCAATAAATAAAGTGTTGGGCTAGTTCCATGCTCTGTGCAGGGGACGGAGGATCCTACATGGACACATCAGTTCTAATCCCAATCGGGTGTTCCTGAGATACACCATGGACAAGTGCCCCAAACCAAACAGGCTGGAGGACTGGAGGAAGGGGATTGCAGTGTGTCCAGACTCTACTAAGGGATCACTCTTCCTCTCTCACTCACTCTTTCTCTCTCATGCAGGCACTAAATCATGAATAATTTAAAACTTAGATTAAAAACTAAAGCCTTTCTATAAAAAGATACCTTTTAAAAATTCTTAATGTAATGGAAAGAAGAAGAAATTGATTACCCCATTAGGAAAAAAGAAAGAACTCATATAAAAGGAAAATTTACTGAAAACCAGATTTAGTGCAAAGAGATTATTATCTACTACAAATTGGATATTTTTTTCAGAGAGATTTTTTGTTTATGTTTGTGTTTTTGCTATAGGGCATGTGCGCTCGCTAGAAAGACAGAGACAGAGAGAGAGACAGTGAGAAATCCCCCCTCAGGGGAGATGGCCACGTCACAATCCCTTCTCCTCCATTCTCCTCTCACGATCCTGGGCACACACACACATGCACCCAGCGTGAGTTTAAGCTACTGGGCCCTATACTTGAACCAGGGTCGACTACATAGGAGTCCAGCGACATAGCCATTATGCCAACTACTGGTCCCTACAAACTGGATTTTAAACGCAATTTTAAGTACATACATTAGTAATAAAATATTAACCTCTAAAGAGCTGTTACAGTAATTATGTATTGAGCCATAATTTTTTTTAAAAATGGAGGTCATATGATTTTTTTAAACTCACGTTGTCTGCAGAAGTGGGACCATGAGGAAGGCTGGGGCTGAAGGCCATGAGGTCGGTCTTGGGAGGGCCCTCCCCAGAGCACACCCTCTGACTCCTCCTCTGCTGAGAGTAAGACCAGCTCCCCACCGCGCTGGAGCACACCAGCGTCGGCTTCCCAGGCCCGCAAGCGCCCTCTGGGGGCGGCGCCGAGCACCGCAGCGCCGTGTACAGCAGCAGCGTGAGCACCAGCAGGCTGGACACCGCGCAGATGGCGATGATCAGGTACACGTTCACGTCCACCAGGGTCGACTCGGGGCCAGCAGCGCCCACCATCGCCCGCGAAGAGGCCTTAGGCGCCTGGCCGCTGTCCACCAGAGACACCAGCACGGTGGATGTGGCCGTCCGCGCGGGCTGGCCCCGGGCATTTACCCA